ATAATGTTTGTTCTTTACTTGACATATAATTATAACTATCGAGTTACTCGTTGGTTGTCTATAAACTAACCGCATAACAAAATGTAGATGGGATGAAATGCTTTAGAAATTATTTCTCTCACTCTTTACAAATGAACTTTTTATATTTTATATTATTTACACACAGGCCGCTACTTTACCTTCACAAAATTTTAACTTTTCTAATACATTACGTTGCATAAATTGAAATCAGAGTCCGATACAGTATTGATCAGAAAAATGTGGTGAAATGTAAATATCTAAATAGACTGTGAATTACATACGCATCTATTCACACAAGAAACCACGTTCATACCCTCGATTTTATGAATTTCAAAATGAGTTTTGCTGAATCTGTTTTCGCTCGGATGTAATATAGCGACATGCCACATGACAAAGAGTAAGAATAATGAACCAATCAAATCGTCATATCTACTTTGTTGTTCAAAAGTCCTGTTTCGAGCCTCTAAAAAGAAATATACATTGTCGGCAACTCAAAATCAGCAGATACACTCGCTTCATGAGAATTCCGCTTTGGCTACTGGCGACTTCAAGGAAACTGTCTTTAATCGTCTACCGACTGTTACCAACAAGCTGAAAGGAATCGGCTAAAAATTCAACAGACTCTCACTCTCTCACACTCTAACTGTGTGTGTATGGGGACATAACCCCCCTTTCTTCTAGGTATACATTTTTTATTTAAAATCAAACATCTGAACATAACATTCATTTTCCTCAAAACCTTATCTTTATCAGCCAATTTTAAATTAAACCAACTTACTTCGCTATTTTTGTATCTTCGTTTTTTGTTTGAAATATATATGTGTGTGTGTGTGTGTGTGTGTGTGTGTGACACTATTTAGCTAATTGGCTAACTAATTAACCATAGAAATTAAAAACAGGAAAGGCTTAAGGCAAGAAAGCTATATCGAAAGATAGACTGATCGACGTTAAAAAAAGAATATTTTATTTTATTTACGGAGAAAGATACTTTTCGCACGAAACAGAAAATCCGTAAGAAAAAGCGAGATATGAGATTCTGTCAAAACTGATTAATGTCATGGTAAGAGAGTGACGCACCAAGGGGAAACAGAATTCAGAAAGAAAAACAAAGCCAACCGACACATGCGGCCAAAAAAACAAATTCGGCTTGGGACCACCGAGGAACAGGCAGAGAGAAGCGATATTAGTTATCTTTCAGAGATATCATTTAATTTTAATTCCTGGGTCCAACGAAGGGAACCATCTGGTGTGTGTTAGAATTCTGACATGAGGAAGAAAATCGTATTATTATTGCTTATTCAACCCGTTGACGTTAGACACAGGGTCGTCGAAAATGGGCATTTGGTGATAAGAGGATTTTAAGGCATGAGAAAAATAAGGAATTTGATTCTCAGGTAAAATACGGACCTCCCAGCTAAAAGTTGAATTAGCAGAAGAAACCAGGTGTCGGGTTTTGACGGTGATTGATGAGTCAGTAGAGAGAGACCCGACTAAGTGAATTTTGGGTGTCCCCAAAAGAAAGATGTGATAAGAATTACTCGGCAATCTGGGGTTTGTAAATGTTTTGGTCGAAGGAAAAAAAAAGGATTTTGTAAACAAAATTCTGGATAATAATTGTAAGAGGGCCAGTCTAGCCACACCCACACTGCCGAGAGATCATTGGTCAAGTGGTAGCATGAGTAATAGGCGGAGGTGAATGCATGAGAAAGACGGAGAAGTTGTTAACACCCACTGAAGGGATTGGTATGAGATACCAATGTGAGAGAGGAAGAGTCTAGGAAGATAACTTTCCTCTGACCTTCCCTCACGGACGAGGGAGAAACCCCAAAAATGGAAAGTGATTAATCTTCCAAAAATGGGAAGTAATTAATTTCCCTGGCCTAAGAATAAAGAGAATTCTTGCTGGGAATCGAGAATTATCGGAAACCCAAGCCACGTCAGCCCCCACCCCATCGGATTTTGGTCGGTATCCATATAAACGAACGTCTCGAGTCAGTTCCAGTAGAGTCTGCAGTCAGTTAGGGAGTAGAGTTTTCGCAGCTGAAGTCAGTTGCAGTTAGAGACCGTTGCCTCGCAGAAGCTGACCGAGAAATTCTACGCCCTTCCGACTTCGATTTCCTACCAAAAGCAAGTTATACTGACAAACGACTTAAGATACCAAAACTCGCTTATGAAACGCAAAAGTGTCACAAATCCATAAAAACGGGTTGGGAGAGAAACACGGGCTGGGAGAGAAACACACTTCTGTATATAACAGATGGATAAAGATAATTTGTTATTTCTCAACATATTTGAACTTCTTGAGTTTGTTTTATTGCTTCTTTTACTTACGCTTGTGCGATATCACCTTTACCCCGGATTCAGCTTGCACTACGGCCCGACGCCTGATTGATTTCGTCTACCTAAGATCAAAGTCACAACGTGGGTAGGTTAGACTTGAGATCAAAGTAGTTACTTCGGTAACCAGACGTCGTAAGTGAGCTGGGAACGACAAAGCTGGTATCGAACCGGGAACGACCAGATCGACCGGGACACAGGCTGGTGGCAGCGACAAAGAGTCAACCCCAATACGCTGGTAGAAAACTTACAGCTTCGTGCCGCAACTGGGAATTGACCACGGACCGACAGCGCAGTGTCATATTGGCGTCGCGACCAGAGGACGTCACATATTGGCGCTGCGACGCATACCACCGGTGGGTGTCACATATATATATATATATATATATATATATATATATATATATATATATGTATGTAGAGAGAGAGAGAGAGAGAGAGAGAGAGAGAGAGAGGGAGAGAGAGAGGGAGAGAGAGAGATTTATATGTGTCTGTTAAAGTTCTCGGAATATATCTGTAGAGAAGGCAAACAGAATAAAATAGACAAAGAGGATTTCACAGGAACGTCTTTTAAATATTTTTGAATTTCATGTAAGTACACAACATTTCGCTTATTTTGTTTGACGAATGACGAAACGCGGCGGCAAATACTATTTTCCGATTGTCTATTCACACACACACACACACACACACATTATGGGTTAAATTATTTCGCTTGTTTATATTTTTTATTTTTTATCTTATATATTTATTTTTTATTTTTATTTTAATTGGTGTTTTTATTAACGTAGTAAAAATTTGTTTATATCGCTTATTTAATAGTTTCGTTTTGGTTTGGGAAGATAAAGCTATTTATTCAATTTGGGGGTTTATTGTTGTAGTTTATTCTTACTATTATTTTGGCGGGAGCAGTTTTTAATTTATTTATTCATGTATTTATTTGGATTGATTATCTTTATTTTTTTCTAACGGTTACTTTTTCGGGATTGGTTAGTTTATTTATTTATTTGGATGAATTTAGATTAATTTATTTTACTTGTTTTTTTATTTATTTATTATACTGTATATTTTTATTTACTCTTTTCGGTTTTCGATTTTTAAGTAACGTAATATTTTTTTTCTTTTATCGTTATATAACAGTTATAGCTGTATTTTTTTTATTTTTTTTTTGTCTGATTTTTGGTTTGATTTTTATAGTCTAACTAATATTTTGGTCATAATGGTTTGTTAATTTGTTTATTATTTATTTTATTTATTTGGTTTCATTGATTTTGTTTTTTATTTTTATTTATTTATTATATTTCGTCTATTCTAACGGGTGTGATTTGGTAATTTGTTTGGGTTAATTCATTTTGCTTATTTTATTGTTTATTTATTTTATTTTTTCCACGTTTCGATTTTTAAGTAACGTAGTAAAAATTTGTTTTCATATCTGCATTTTGAGATGAGCTCGGATCTTTTATTTAATAATTTATTTTGGTCTGGAAAGGTAATGATAGCTATTTTTTCTCCAACTAATGTTTGAAAATTTTTGATTGGTTGTTGTAGGCTGATGATCGTTTCCTTATTTTCCAAGATATTTTTGGTGTTTTGTTTTTAATTTCCCAGATATACTTAGAAAGCATTGTGCTGTTTTACTATTTGTGAAAGATGTTTTGTGTGCATAACTTTTTTGTTTCCAGGGTCCTTCAGTTCCTCCTATGTATACTTTTTCTTCGTTATCTGGTGATTTTATCGTGGCTTGGTATATTACGCTGTTTTGTAAACAATTACCGTTTAAGGGACATTCATTCTTTATTCTGCAGTTGCACGTGGGTTTAATTTGTTCGTGTGGTTTGTTGACAATTTTCCTGTTGTGCATTTTATTATTTGTGCCATGTTGTCGGTGCAACTGTAGCTGATTTTTACTGTGTTTTTGTTAAATATTTTGTGTAGGGTGCTTGATTCCGGGAAGTGTTTGTGCAAGAGTTTGAAGAATATTTTTCCTATGTTTGTTTTTACGTTTTTTCTGTACGATGGGTTGAACCATATGATATTTCTTTTCCTGTTGGTCTTTTTTGTATTCTGTGGTGAGAATGTGAGTGTTGCTGGGAATCCGCCATCTTTTAGGGCTGTTTCGTAGTTTTTCTTAGCTTTGTTAAATATGTATTCATTGGAGGAATTGTCGGAAAGCCTGCGATTAATCGATTTTGGTATCTGTTTGATTATAGAAAGCGGGTGGTTGTAAGATAAATAAACGACTTCCGGTAAAATAACCGCCAAAATAGACTACCCACAATGCACCACTGACCCGTATGTATAAATAGCCAAGAAAAATAATAGCACTCGTGGCCTGACGAGCATGAAACAGACTGTCGCCTTCTATGTTCACTTATTTATATATATATATATATATATAAAGATAGATAGATAGATAGATAGATAGATAGATAGATAGATAGATAGTAGAACATTTCAAAATAATTTAATTCAACGTATACATGGATTAACAGAATAATAATTACGCTAATTATCTATCTATCTATCTATCTATCTATCTATCTATCTATCTCTATATATAGATAGATAAATAATTATCGTAATTATTATTCTGTTAATTCATTTTTCATAATGTCCAACGATTTTATTTTTGATTGACTTACAGTTTTGTTTTCGTCCATGAATTTCCTAAGATAGAATCGTTTCTCCTTCGTTTTGCGGACGTCATCTTCTAGACATTGGATATCATACTTGCGTGCATCATCACTTTCCTGCACTCTTTCTTTCAGGTAGCGACGACGGATCATGTCTCGATCATCCATTTGAGCTTTAAGCACATCTCGGAAATGTTTCCTGGAGATTTACCACCAGAAGAAAAAATAACACAAAAATACTATAAAAATATTAAACAATGAGTTTGAAATTGTGTCAAATAATAAATATTTTTATTTGCATTTATGCCCACCTCATATTTTGTTTGTCAAGATTAGAGTGATTTCTTTCTTTTTTCTTTTTTATTTTTGGAAATACTATAGCGATTGCTATGTTTTTCACATCCACATACACTCCAAGTCATTATATTCGCCTGCGATTGGCTAATAAATTACTACTACCGTTGTATAGGACAATTTAGCCATCGCAGTCGTTCCTTTGAATCTTTTGGTTCTGAGCATAATTCTATTCTAAACCTATTCTGTTTAGTACGAGTGTAGTGATTGGTTAATTTTTAACCAATCACATATTTTTAATGTAAGATCAAGTTTTCCCGCGGTTCCGTGAGAGCCTACCTTTTTTCCTTAAAAGGGGTGACTTTTCGCAAGTCGCCAGTAAGATCCAGAAAGATCCAGTAAGAATCCAGCCGTCAACACAAATCCACGATCTTGCTCAACGCACACACAGACACAGAATTTCGTAACTACAAACTTACATTTTCTCTCTGTAACTTTTGCCAAGCACAATCAACCAGAACTTTGTTGATTCAAAACAGTTTATCCACAACACACTTCAAGCAATTGTATTCTTCGTGTTATTCATTCTTCACATGCAAACTATGCTCTATCAATTATTTCGGATCATTTATCTCACAAGAGAACTTTCAACAACAACAGTTTACACGGGTACCTTCCAAAATCTGGAAAACCAGAACCTAGCAGCTGATCTCCCCTCTGACCTAGCACAGGTGGCTTAATGGGTTTACAAATAGCGATTCTCTCCCTTTCATTGAGATAGTCACGAGGATCACGTGACGGCCGGTGAATGACGTCAGGAGAAAGATTGACGAGAGCAGTTGTCATGTAGAGACCCGAGATGAAAGACGTCCTTTGGCCACAGCGCTAGGTCTTACAGGAAAAAGTACATAGGTTATCCCAGTTCGTAGAGAAATTGCTGTAACTCGTTTTCCTTTCGGGAAATATAACAAGGAAGGTTCTCCTTTCTTACACTCTGTTTGTTGAGGCGTATGCTATAATTACTTTGTGTGAGATATTTGTATATGTGAATATATCTAATTTTGTGTACGATGTAGCATTTTAAAGCTCCCCGTGAATTAAGCATGTGCGTTATTCTTTTTCCATTCAGCTCTGTCCGTGAAGTATCAGTGTTGTTATATCATGAATAAAGCAATGCCCATAAACATTTCTCCTCCACGCTCTCGTTACAGCGAAGGAGGGAGGACTGATTTGTAAAATTCAATACGACCAAAAACAAACAACGTTCCACCACCACCTCGAATATTCACTTATCATGATGGATGGCTCCTCTCAAGGAGGCTCCTTATCTTGAACGTCTGTTGGGGTCCAAGCTCCCCCAGACCTCAGGTGAAACTTATATATATTTCATACTGAATGAAATATTGCTACATTTTTTTTACAAATATACTAAAAATGATAAATAAAACAGATTAAAAAAAATTCATAGTGTTACAAAATCATCCAATCATGGCATAAAGAAGAGTAGACATGTTGAAAATTACTATCGAAAAAGATAAGTGGAGTAAAGCATCTCAGGTAACCAGAATTCTGATGAACCCTCATCAATTTTTGGTCACTGAGGGACAGGATGCGGAAGGTAGAAGATATGTTCAATCTTCCCTTCTGGGGAGACTTAGCCATCTGGTAAACTGACGAGTGAATTTCAAACAAAGCACGTGGGCATCACACACACGCACACACACACTACGACTAAGTACATAAAGGTTTTTTCCCCGCTTTTTTTTTATCTTTTATGAGTTATGTTGATGTTTATAAAAGAAAATATATCTGTATAAAATTCCTCCACGTATTGAATTCACTTCTTTTGAAAATATTCAATTCATTTATTCTGAAAGTCTTCATTCTCATCAGCAACCAGTCGTAAATCGTCACGCTACAAACTGGTGTCCAAGAGCAACCTCGTCCATTACAAATCTGTTGCACTCTGTCGCGACAAGGATCGCTGATAAACAATAAAACGCACTTACCAATAAAGACGAGGTAAACTTTTCTAAAAATAATCTTTATCTGTCATCTCAAAAAGAAATCAGTGTCTCCTGTATTTTTTGTTTGATTTTTGTGAGATGACAAATAAGGATTACATTTTGTGAAATGACAAATAAGGATTACATTTTGTGAAATGACAAATAAGGATTACATTTTGTGAAATGACAAATAAGGATTACTTTCAGAAATGTTTTCTGCTTTTTTTTTTTTTTTTTGGTAATGTCGTTTTGTTGTATACTTTCGTTTTATTGTATTTATCAACGATCCACTTTGAAAAGTTCTAATCTGTTGCGGGGCCGATAAGGATGTCGCCCCCGCAAGCTTTTAACGAAGAAAGGTGTGAACAGCTAAGACAATGAGGAACAAAGGCAGAGGTTTAGAATAACAAACGTCGGATTTATTTGTCGATCTGGACAAATGTACGTCCAGGAATTGTTTGGTGTAGTTCGATCGTGAAGTCAGTGAGTACCAGTTGAAGGATCGTTGTTAGGGTTCAAGGCGGCAGCTCGGAGGCAGGCAGATGGAACAGCGGTATTCGAGGTCCAGTTGATCCCCGGATGTTCGCCCTTTGGAAAGAGCGCGTCGGCGTTTAAGAAAGAGGATCGGCGTAGACAGTGCTGGGGTAGCCTGTTCGTCCTTAGAATGACAGTCGTGTAAGAACGCGGCTTGGTAATTCTAAAAAGGACTATCGCATATCATGTGGCCAGGTTAGTCCTAAAAAGGACTATCGCATATCATGTGGCCATAACCTGGCGATAGTCCTTTTTTAGGATTAACCATCCTAAAAAAGGACTATCGCATATCATGTGGCCAGGTTAATTATGAAAAGGACTATCGCATATCATGTGGCCAAGTTAATTATGAAAAGGACTATCGCATATCATGTGGCCAGGTTAATTATGAAAAGGACTTTCGCATATCATGTGGCCAGGTTAATTATGAAAAGGACTATCGCATATCATGTGGCCAGGTTAATTATGAAAAGGACTTTCGCATATCATGTTCGGCTGCTGAGGTTGGCTGCTTCGTGCGGTCAGCGACGAGGGTCGGCCAGGTGAAGGTGAGAGGGGGAGCACGTCGCTCTACCCCGGAGCCAAGTTAGCCAAGTTTCTTCGTGCAAGATCTGCGCCACAAAATGGCCAAACTTACATACACCCCCCACGACAACAAACCACAAGCTCCTACTTACCGCAGAAACTGGATACCTGCGATTTTGTCTTTGTTAGGAACGACACCGTAAAAATAAACCCTCCCACACCAAGCTACCAATGTCCTTTCAAAGTTCTGAAGCTTTCCGAGAAATTTGTCACGATCATGCGCGGCAAAGACAAAGATACAGTCTCCATCGACCGACTTAAACTAGCTTGGTTAGAGGAAACTTCTCCCGACCCAAACTAACCAACAACGACGGAAGATGAATCAACTACACAGAAGGGTTCATTTTCCGGCCAAATTAAAGACATACATCTTTTTGTCGAATTGATCACGATCAATCCTCTAGGAAGGGGGCCTTATCGCACCCGGCCGGAAGTTACTGCCGGCTACTCAAACGTCCGATTCATCACCGCAGAAAACAGAACGAATGCCGTTAACTTCCGGTGACTCAGAGAACGATACACAAAAAGCAAAACAAATAAAACATAAACATACACAAGTCCTCCTAACTAAAATAATAACCGGAAACTACTTTAAATACACATGGTGTCCAAATGAAACCCATGTGTACAGTCAAAATGCGGAAGTTAATTTTTAGTCATCAACCAAAAGATATTGCCAACCGGCTAGGATGCTAACCGCAGCCGACATAAACACAGCCGATTTCTTCCACCAAGCAACTTGGCTAACTCTGCCTTTGTTCCTCATTGTCTTAGCTGTTCACACCTTTCTTCGTAAAGCTTGTGGGGGCGACATCCTTATCGGCCCCGCAACAAATCGAAAAGATGGCCGCTTAAGAGGATTTACACCACTTTTTCTTCTTCAACGGTAATTTTCAATACGCCCCCGTTTCTTCATACTATAGATAAATAAATATTTACCTGTAAGCCTCGCGTTCTGCTGGTTCTCCGTAAAAGGGTTTCATCCACGCTGTGTGAAATCGACTGTGCTCTCTTTGACTGAGCCATATAACGCGTCGTTCATTTTCTAAATGTTGATCACTCGTCTCCCAGTGCATGTTGATGCGTTTTCGTGGAGGTGGAGGTCGCAGTGGGTTGACATGAGGTGGTACTTTGGTCACATCTAGGGAAGTTGCTGATAGTTCTTTCGGTGGGTAAGGGCCATAAATTGATGAACATGTCGTGTGCGATCGCTGAAAGACAGGTGTTGTCACTACAGGAATTTTTGGCAGATACACGCGTGACATTTTGCTTTTTGTCTTAGTGGAAATGTCGAATCATTTGGCTTTAAGATCTGCTAACAGAAAGAAAATATTAGAATATTACACAAAGAAACCAGTTTGAGGTCAAATTTTATAATGTAGAATTGTGATTTGAATCGAGCCAATCAGCAGTGACTAAGGAATTTAAAAAATCAATGAATCTGTTATTTCATTTTAACGTCAATATAAATGTCTTCTTTGGAAAGTTACTATTGGTCTGCGCATGTGTACCTTTTGCACAAAGACTCCAAGTTACAGCTGGGATAAATTATATTACAAAGTCATTGTGAAATATTATGAAAGGATTTTTTCAATATCGGAAAATGCAAAAGAACAATCGAGAAATAAACTCATACGTTCGAATAGGGATTGTACAATTTTGATATAATTGGAGATAGGTTTGCAATAAAAATGCACCATATCCCAGAATCTATGAGAATTCTTAGAATCTTTGGGATGTGGAAAAATTTTAAATCATTAACCTTTTTAGCATAAGTATGTGACGTGTTCAATTAGGCCTTATAACGTTCTTTAAATTGAAAGTCTGGGTTCTTTGGTTGCCTAGAGTAGGTATAGTAAATATAGGAGAAAAGTAACTGTTGAATGTCTCACTTAACGGCAAATAATAACTGATTTCAATGAGAAAAAATGAAACAGACGAAAACTGCTTTTTTTGAGTAAATATACATAATTTACATATTTAATACATACACGCTTCACAAAAATGACATTGTACAATTTGTAGAGAGAAAATGTGAAGGAGGAATACGTGAATGACGTAGAAGTAAGAACACGTGTGTGAAAAGCAACACGTCTATACGCAGTTCTGGTGCATAATTGTTAAATAGCTCTTTGTCTTACAAGAAGAGCATTTTGTGGATGAAAGTCGGCAATGACATAATACCAAGATTAGCTCTTGGTAAAAAGAGAAATTGAAAAGCAGTCTATCGCATGCTTATTTTACGATTTATAGTCTTAAACATTTTGGGCGTGCAAGCCTCTTATTGATTACCTTTGATAAACGTTTGTTAAAATTGTCCTAATTCTGACTAAACATACATTTCCATATATCCCTAGCTTACCTTATGTTCTGTCTTGTGAATTTTACTTTTCTATTACTAGTTCAGTTTTACTTTTTTATTTTCAGTTTCAAATTTTTACTGACTTTTGTTTAAGATTAATTTTAATACTAGTTATGTACAACTTATGTTCAAGTCTTCGCATTAACCAAAAGAAACATGAAAGTTGCATTTTGATAAAAATAAAATTTCAAATTGTTTCCTTCTAAAAATTTAAACTGTTTACATCATTTGTACATGTGTGTTTTTTTCATCTTCATCTCAATACATAGTCTTCATTAGCAAATATTTCTGAAAGGCATATAAGTATTTTTAAACGGTCCTAAATTTATAATTATTGCTGTCATAGGCATATAATCGGTAAGTACTTTTATCTGGTGTTAAGATCTTTTTTCAATTGATATTTAACCTAGGATATCAATCCCAACTTATTCAGAACATCTTAATTACGACGATGTAGTTACTATAAAAATTATTTTAGAATAAAAACGATAATATTAAAATAGTACGAGAAAAATAATTAAAATGCCGGAACTGTGTAAAAAAATGAATATAGAAACTATTTTTAATAAAAAAGATAATAATAGTTTGTACTGAAAACTCATTAAGAAAATCAGAAATTGTTAACACGGTTTCTCTAAAAAAAGGATCCGCTTAAATGAAGCCAAACGGTTTATATATATATATATATATATATATATATATATATATATATATATATATATATATATATATATATACATGACATGAATGGCATGTGTAAAGATTTGAAAAAATACGCTCTAAATTAATGTCATAAAAAAAAATTAGACCAGACGATTTAAACTTTACGTGGCAAAATTTTGCAGAATGGTCCGAACTTTGATGTTTTCAAAACCAGCAAAATTTCAAATGAAAACAGGTGCGATTTGATTGAATGATTATTCGCAATATTTTAACCAGTGGAAATTAAAAAAAATATAGGCCTCCTAAAGAATTGGTTTTCGGGTTTTGATCCACGTGTTTGCAATATAAGAGAGAAAATTTTCATTGCAAAGAAAAGAAAAGGAGAAACCAGAAAAGAGTAGATCGAGTCGGGTTGCTGCTGCTACTGATGTTGAGAAAAGTATTGGCCTCTCGAGCGAAAGGCTATCATCAAGAAGAAAGGATTAGCCTACTTGGCGTGTAAAGTCTGCTGCAATTGAGAAAAGAAACAGACCATGTGATGACCTGGGATGTTAAAAGACTACTTCCATTGTCGCTGTTGACAAAGAAGATAGAAGAATTTTCTAAATTCTCATAATACGAATGACATTCATAAACCCATGAGAGTTTATCCCAAACTTGAAGACGCCTGTTCCCAAAATCTGAATATTCGTCAAAAGGACTCAAGAAAAGCAGCTTCACTGATGTAGGTCAACATTTTCTCACTCCTATCCAACTTCGATTTTCAACTTCCAACCTTCCAGCGTCATTTTGAAATTTTCTAAGTAAGTAAATTTCTTTTCTTGCTTAAAAAAAGATTTATATGAACAGTTTCTCTAAAAGAAAGTTGTAAAATCCCCCTTTTTTTAGGAAAGCATTTGTAGTTTTCTACCAGAAAACTGATTTGTATTTGAAAAAATTGTTAGACTGTCTTGATAATTTGAGGCGTACATGGGTAATTTATTTGCAAGGCCTATATTGTAATTTTTACAATTTTTATACTGAGAAAATATTTTTGTCCTTTAATAAACGTTTGTTTCTTTGCAAATTTCACTCTAGATAAAGAGACTTCATAAGTTTTTTTCGTTTGTGCCATCCAAAATATTCAGGATAAGAGAGTTGAGGTTCTCACTTCTCTTTTTCTTTTCTTTTTTTTTAATCATTTTACCTCAAGCAAGACAATAAGGCCACTAAGACGCAAGGGGTTACTGAGCGTGAGAGAATATTAGAAAAGGAAAACATTATTAAGGAGCGAGAACAATAAAAGAACAGGAATTAAGGAGACGGAAGATAACGATTGATTTTCTCGCAATAAATCCTTTTATTGCCTTTAAATTAATCTTATTTTTGTAATATTGATTTGTAAAATTTTATTTTTTTACAGTTTATGGTTAAGCAAAAGTTGTTTAAAAATAAAACAATAAGATCAGTGATCAAGGAAGTCCATTTGAAGAAGCTTTTTAAGAAAAAAATTTAAATCTCCAGATTACTTTGTCCTTCTCTAGCCACTGGTTAATAAGACTTCTATAGGAATTGGGTTCAAAACGAATCCATTCACAAGAGAAATGGTATAAAAATACTAACACTAGTATCAATACCAAATTTTATTTTCTTACTTCCTAGTTGCACAACGTCTTCTAGAAGTGACGAATTCGTCGAAGATAACTTGATCAATTAGTTTCTCGATGTTACTGGAAACTAGTTAACATTTGAATGTGACTTTGCTTCTTGAGTTATTTGCACCAATATTTACATGTTCTTGTCAGCATAAAAAAGTGTACTTGGTTCGAGTTGTTTTATTTATGAATGCTATGTCCTTTTACAATGTTATCTGTGAGTTTGGTTGTATTTGCATTTGTTTTACAGTGAATATTGTGGCATATTCTATTCAATATTTTTTTCCATTTTGTCTAATTAAGAAGGAGTCAGTTGTTTTTGTGAAGTAATGATACATGTTGGAGACGAATGTAATGTTTTCAGAAATTCATATCCATGTTCACCAACGTCGATATGTTCAACTCTCAATACAAAGTCTTCGAAATAAACTAATGGGTATTAAGTGTATCAAGTTTTGTATTTTCAGACGCTGTCAAAATAATAGAAGAAGAAATAAATTTCGTAACTTCTAAAAGTGAAGTTGGAATAACCAATAAATATTTAGTTACTGATCTCTGAAGTGAAATTGTCTTCCTATTATAGAAAACCAACGATTTCGTAGTGTTTCTATAAATCCTGATGTTTTAACTGTAAGATCAAATGATGTATATTCTTCATCTATTTTAAATAATTATAAAAAATAGCATTTTTAAATTCACTACTTACGACCTGTTGCAAAGTCTCTATATATATATATATATATATATATATATATATATATATATATATATATATATATATATATATATAAGTAAAAAGCCGGAAAAATTACCGTGCCAAAATATAAGGACGTATAAAAAATTGCTTAATATAATGCTCAGCAAAACGAATATACTACCTTAGTTTTGATTGTGAGGTCTCGTCAGGTGGTTAGGTAAGAAGTGTTCATCAAAGTACACCAATTTTATCCCACCATGTAACCGGAAGTCAAGAAGGGAAGGCGGTGCAAGAGAGCAAAAAGATTATTCTTTATCATCATCTAGGGTCGTACAGGCCGAGAATATTCTTACCCACGTGTCTACATTTTGACATGATTTCCGTTCTTACTCTTCAATCGCACTCTCCTCAAAATGCTCCATTTTATACCCGGACTCTACCATGTTCCTATTTCGTTTTCCATACATAGTCTGCCAGCTTCGTATTATACCTGCGCGTCTGCACCCTAAAAGAAGAAGTATGGTTGTAACAGCGTTTCTTAAAAGAGCCCTCTCTACATCCGACATAAACCTTTCTTTAGCCAGTCATCACTAACATCGGCTCAGTAAACTACACCTTCTGTGCAGCAAACCTTGTTCAAAGGGCAATTACTTTTGTTCCTGCATTTACATAGTATATTATTTTCATATATATGTGTGTGTGTGTGTGTGTGTGTGTGTGTGTGTGTGTGTGTGTGTGTGTGTGTGTGTGACTTTGTAACAGGTCGACTACTCGAGTATTCGAGTATCCACTAAAAATAACATTTAAAGTGATATATATATATATATATATATATATATATATATTTTTCAGAGGATATAAGCTCGGTTTTTAATTAGCACAAACCAATATTGATTGATTGAAAATTCT